CCCCTTTCCTCCCCCCAACTAATAAAATAGTGTTACTTTTACACTGTACCTGCTGAAATAAAGAGGAGATCCCTTGCAATATTAGATTGAAGGGAGAAAGAGCAGATACACATTGTTTTAGATGAATTCTTTTTTTCCCCCAAATCGAAGTACTGTGTAACCGACTCGAAAGAGAATCGGAAATCACTGGAGCCAATAGGCTGTATTTGTCTCCCATAACTTCCTTTTTGGATGATTGCTCTGGTGGTGAATTGTGATATGGAATGATAATACAATAATATTGATTTCCCTGTACTCTCAGGGGAGCTGGTTGCATGGTCGCTGGGTTTTTTTTTCCAAACGGTTTTTGTATTCTGAACTCGCTTGTATTGAACAGGAGAGGAAAGATTTTAATTTTAGAAAGAAGTTATGGTACTATTGTGTATGTATGTAAAACATGTTAAGTGACAATGAGAAGAAGGTAAGAAAGCCCCTCAGTCACGTACTCTCCCTTTCGTTTTTGGGTTTTTTTTAAAACTTCTTGCTACTTTTTTCATTTGTCTTCCTTGAGACAGTGAGACAGAAAGTTAGGTTTATTTATTTACTTATGTATTTTCTTTCTTTTTTTCTTTTTTTCTTTTTTCTTTCTTTTCTTTCTTTCTTTTTTTCTTTCTTTCTTTCTTTCTTTCTTTTTCCTTCCTTCCTTCATTCATTCTTTCATTCATTCATTTATTCCTTTATTCATTCCTTTATTTATTTGATTTTAGTAATAAGAGTTTTGCGGAACTTGCAACAGAATTGTGTAATACAGGTGCCGAAGATTAGAGATGTTACTGGAGAGTAACTTACAAAGGAAAGTAGAATAGATAAGGGTGATATATGTTTGGCAGGAAAGAAGGAGCAAACCACGCAAGAGCACCCGCCAACCACCCATGGGGGTGGGGGGGTGTTGAGGTGTGGGGTTGGAGGATTATTTAAGGGAAAGGGAGACGGGAGGTACAGCTGAAGAACTTGGTGGATATGCCTGAGATAAATGTTGGGGGG